TGGGCCTGTAACTGAGCTAGAGAGAGGTACTAGCGCTCAGAATGGCCTGGGGTGAGGCCAGGGTGCAGAGCACTGTAGGTGGAATCTGGGGGCGTGGCATCTTTGGAGGCGGGGCTAGACGGTGCCACTGAGAATGGGGCAAGGACCTAGCCTGGGAGTGGAGACTAAATTAAATACACTAATGAGGCACGGACGTGGCCTGACCTGAAGACTTGTAAACCGGGCTTGAACCAGGACTGGGCTCCTGCGGGAATGTGATATGAGGAGGAAACACGTACCCGCAGTCACAGCCCATACCCGCTCCCCAGCCCGCTCAGACAGGTATCACCATGTGAACTCCTATGACGAGGATGACACGACGGAGGAGGAGCCCGTGGAAATCCGCCAGTTCTCTTCCTGCTCTCCGCGCTTCAGCAAGGTGGGCCAAGGCTGAGTGTGGGACAGGGCGAGACCTCGGGAGGGATGGGACTTGGAGAGACAGTGAGAAACAGGTTCCCTGGTGCCCAAGGTTTCAGGAGCGGGAAGTTATTGATGGGGTGGGAGTCTGGAAAGTGGTAAGACCACGCGACAGGCAGTTTCGGGAGTCTATGGGACGGGCCTTTGGCATTGAGTGGAATCTAACAGGAATCAGGACAGTTGTGCAGATTGAGGCCATGGTGGGGCGGGGCTAGGTCTGGGCGGGGCGGGGTCAGGACGTGGGAATGAGGCCAGCAGCAAAGGCGGGGTAAAGCCCAACAGGGGTGCTTTTATTTATTTATTTATTGATTGATTGATTGATTGATTGATAACAGGCAGAGAAGCCATAGGTTTTGCTTTGAGAAGCAACTTGCAGAGGGGTGCAGGGTCTAGCCTGGGCGAAGGAGACATAAATTAAGGGGGTTGCTGGGAAGATGGGGTGTGTAGAGAGCAGATTGGTCAGGGCATTCTAGGGACAGAGTCTAGAATAAAACGCAGGGCCTAACTTTGTGGGGTGGGGCCTGAACTGAAGAATTGTAGGTTGGCGGACCATGCACAATTGGTCGGAGCCAGGCCTCGGAGGGTGGAGTGCGCTTTGCGGGGATCCACTGCCAGGAAGATGATTAGCTCTGGAGTGAAGGTGGAATCCGGGCTGGACTTGCCTCCCACCACCACCTACAGGTGTATAGCAGCATGGAGCAGCTGTCGCAGCACGAGCCCAAGACCCCAGTAGCGGCTGCAGGGAGCAGCAAGCGGGAGCCGAGCACCAAGGGCCCCGAGGAGAAGGTGGCCGGCAAGCGGGAGGGGCTGGGCGGCCTGACCCTGCGTGAGAAGACCTGGAGAGGGGGCTCTCCGGAGATGTGAGCAGGGTAATGGCGGAGTTTGGGGGCGGGGTTGAAGGGGGCGTGTCTTCCCTGACCACGCCCCCTCCGTGCAGCAAGCGATTCTCCGCGTCCGAGGCCAGTTTCCTGGAGGGAGAGGCCAGTCCACCGTTGGGCGCCCGTCGCCGTTTCTCCGCGCTGCTGGAGCCCAGCCGCTTCAGCGCACCCCAAGAGGACGAGGATGAGGCCCGGCTGCGCAGGCCTCCCCGGCCCAGCTCCGACCCCCCGGGCTCCCTGGATGCACGGGCCGCCAAAGAGGAGACTCAAGGGGAAGGCACCTCCAGCGCCGGGGACTCCGAGGCCAGTGAGTGCCCTATCGTGCTACCTTCCCCAATGTCCTACTAGTCATATAGTGAGCATCCCATGAGCCTGTTGCTGTTTGTGAAAGACTTCACGTACTATTCACATTCTAATTTAGGATTTTTTTTTTTTTTTTTGAGACAGAGTCTCACTCCCTCACCCAGGCTGGAGTGCAATGGCGTGATCTCGGCTCACTGCAACCTCCACCTCCTAAGTTCAAGTGATTCTCGCATCTTAGCCTCCCAAGTAGCTAGGATTACAGGCGCGTGACGCCACCCCCGGCTAATTTTTGTATTTTTAGTAGAGACGGGGTTTCATCATGTTGGCCAGGCTGGTCGCGAACTAAGTTATCTGCATTCCTTGGCCTACCAAAGTGCTGGGGTTACAGGCGTGAGCCACCGTGCCCAGCCCTATTTGAGATTCTTAACATTAGAAACACCCCAATGCCATGGTCAGTCAGTGATACAGTCTGATACAGACTATGTCTCTATATGAGCAGCAGTGCGGGATGCAGGTTACCTGCTCAGATGAAACTCACCATACATCAGGGGTAAAAAGTGGGAAGAGCATTCCAGGCAGAGAAACAGCATGTGGGAAATCCCCGGCCTTGGACTGATTCCTAACACACTGCTTTCTGTTGCAGCTGACCGCCCACGCCCAGGTGACCTCTGCCCACCCTCGAAGGATGGGGATGCATCAGGCCCAAGGGCTACCAATGACCTGGTTCTGCGCCGGGCGCGGCACCAGCAGATGTCAGGGGACGCGGCAGTAGAGAAGAGGCCTTCTCGAACCGGGGGCAAAGTCATCAAGTCAGCCTCAGCCACTGCCTTATCTGTCATGATTCCTGCAGGTAACGCTGGGCCCCTGCCCCCCCCCCCCCATTTGAGGCAGGACAGACCAATGAAAATGCTGCATATTTCCTGTCCACCGTGATTGGCTCCAGGCTGGAACAATGAGAGGCTGCTCTGCCACTTACACTTGGGAGGAGGGAGGAGCAGATACAGGGAGATGTGTGTCTTCTTGGTTCTGATTTCTGACCACGGTTGTATGTCTGTAGTGGACCCACATGGAAGCTCACCCCTTGCTAGTCCCATGTCTCCACGATCTCTGTCCTCCAACCCATCCTCACGGGACTCCTCACCCAGCCGGGACTACTCACCAGCTGTCAGTGGGCTCCGCTCCCCCATAACCATCCAGCGCTCGGGCAAGAAGTATGGCTTCACACTGCGTGCCATCCGTGTCTACATGGGTGACTCGGATGTCTATAGTGTCCACCACATTGTCTGGGTGAGTACTCATGGGTGGAGTCTCTATCACAGAGTGGAGGCTGGGGGGGAAAAGGCCCCTCCAGCTCAAACCAGTTAGCCTGGGTGAGACACCTCTGTGACCCTCTATGCCTCTTCCCTCTCTGAACCTGTTTATTTTTCTTTTTCTTTTTTATTTTAGGCGGAGTCTTGCTCTGCCGCCAGGCTAGAGTGCAGTGGCACAATCTTGGCTCACTGCAACCTCC